GTTATCGTAAAGCAAAGACGCCAATCGTTTTGGTGTGGGCGGAGTCATCGTTGCCATGGTAACAACATTTTTGTCGAAATATTCTAGAACCTGTAACTTCTGCACTTTTTACCGCGATTGTCATGAAATTTATATTTGTATTAAATATATATTTAAATTTATATTAAAATTTAAAAATAAAATTTAAATTTAAAAATATAAATATAAATTGAATATTTGTATTAAAATTTGTATTTAAATTTATATTTAAATTTTGATTGCCACCAAATATATATATACATATATATATATAGGACATGTTATATCGGCCCTGTGTGCAAATTCCATGACAATCGGGTAAAAACAGCACAAGTTACAGGGTCTACAATATTTCCACAAAAATGTTGTTACCATTGCAACGATGACTCCGCCCACACCAAAAACGATTGGCGTCTTCGCTTTACATAACGCACCATCAATGCCAAATTGAAGATCATCCGAGATTGGTAAAACTGCCCACCAGGTCACTGCGACCTTTATTTCACCTTTACCTTGACCTTGATCATATTTCCCTTCCGGTCCTCTAACTCGGCCCCTAATTGAGCCTAGCGCCGACCAAACTTGGTATGCTTACACATCTTGGGGAGAAGTCTGTCGCAATACAAAACCACCACTGCCCTTGACCTTTAGTTTGACCTTCACCATCGACTTACATTTCCTCTTCGGCCTCCTAGGGTAACCAGATTCCATATTACTTGCCACATCTGAGGCCACACTAGTTGTCTAACAAACCTTTGTCTTTGCTGACTTATTAACTTTTACCTGCCTTCTACGTCCTTACAGAGATATTCCATTCATACTAGATCACGGGGGATACATGTAGTTGGCGACAACTGCTCGTTTCTAGTCTCTCTCTCTCTCCCCCATCTCTCTCTTTCTCCCTCCTCTCTCTCTCTCTCTGTTCTCTCGCTCCCTCCCTCGTTCCTTCTCTCTCTTCCTCTCGTTACTTAACGGTATCTCTCTTCTCAACACAGACTGGCTCGCTGGAGGACAGCACTTCAGGAAGACAAACGAGCTCGTATCTCCCTCTCTCCATCCCCTTCTCTCTCCATCTCCCTCTCTCATCTCTCCCTCTCTCCATCTCTCCCTCCCTCACCCTCTCTCTCTTCCTCTCGTTATTAACAATATATCTCTCTCTGTATGGATACAGACCGGCTCTCTGGAGTGACAAGCACTTCAGGAAGCCGAACAAGCTTGTGTCTCCCTCCCTCCCTCCCTCCTCCCCACTCCCCCTCCCCTCTCTCTTCCTCTCATAACATAATGGTACCGTCCCTTCAATACAGACGGCGCTCACTCGAGGGACAACACTTCGGGAAGACGAAAAAAGCTGTTATCTCGCCTCCCTCCCTCCCTTCTCCTCTCTCTTCCTCACCCTCTCTCGCTCTTGTTACACACCCATATCTCATTCTCTCTCTCTCTCTCTCTTCTGCAACACAGACCGGCTCTCTAGAGGGACAGCACTTCAGGAAGACGAAGAAACTTGTGTCCCTCTCTCCTTCTCGTTACACACCCATATCTCATCTCTCTCTCTTTCATCTACACAGACCGGCTCTCTCGAGGCGACAGCAACTTCAGTGAAGACGAAGAAACTCGTGTCCCTCAGCGAACAAATCTCGTCGACTGCCTCGGCAAAGTACGGTAACGAGGGCTGCAACGGCGGCCTCATGGACCAGGCTTTCAAGTACATCAAGGACAATGGAGGAATCGACACCGGAGGAGTCTTACCCATAAGCCGCTCAGGTAGGGGCGCCGGGATAGGTTGACGCGGGGAGGCTGGTGAGGTAGGGGCGCCGGGATAGATGAATGTGGGGAGGCTGGTATATGATTGACACGGGGGCTGTTAGGTAGGTGCGCGGCTGGTTAGGTAGGGGTGCGCGATAGGATAACGCAGAGGGGGGGGGGGGCGCGTGGGGCTGGTGAGGTAGGTGCGCGGGCTGGTTAGGTAGGGGGCGCGCGCGATATAGATCAACGCAGGGGGGCTGGTGAGCGTAGAGCTGCGTGGGCTGCGTTAGGTAGGGCGGCCTTGGGCTGGTTAGGTAGGGGGCGCTTGGGCTGGTTAGGTAGGGGGCCTTGGGCCTGGTGAGGTAGGTGCGTGGCTGGCTTAGGTAGGGGGCCTTGGGGCTATAGCGTCAGGGTTGCTGGCTAGAAGATAAGCTGTTTAGAATAAATAAAGTGATAAGTTAGTTCTACATTGTACAAGTCTCCTATCTTCTCTCTCTCTCTCTCCTCTCTCTCTCTCTCTCTCTCTCTCTCTCTCTCTCTCCCTCCTCTCTCGCTCTTCTCTCTCTCTCTCTGTCTCTGTGTCTCTCTGTCCTCTCGCCTCTCTCCCTTTCCCGCCCTCTCTCTCACCTCTCTACCTTTGCTCATCCTCTCTTTCCCTTTCCCCCTTCTCCCCCTCCCCCTCCCCTCACCCTCTCTCTCCTCCTCTCTCCATGCGCTCTTCATCGTCTCGTCTTTCTCCGCGCTGCAGCAAGGGGACTGCATGTTCAAGAAGAGCACCATCGGCGCGAACGACACCGGCTTCGTCGACGTTACTAGCGGCGACGAGGAGAAGCTAGCGGAGGCGGTCGCCACCGTCGGCCCCGTCTCCAGTCGCTCAATTCGACGGCCAATGCCACCAGTCCCTTCCTCGTTTCTACAAGAAAGTGTAAGCGGAGGCACGTGACGCCAGCCACTGAGTCCCTTCCAGTTCTACAAGAAAGGTACACGCCCCTAACACCTACGTCACTGCTCCACCTACTGACTGTCCCCTAAATAACCTCAACACACCCAGTTCTAACAAGCAAGGTACGCGCCCCTACACCTACGTCACTTGCACAACCTATGACCGTCCCCTAAATACCTCAACACACCCAGTTCTACAAGCAAGGTAGCGCACCCCTACACCTACGTCACCGCTACACCTACTGACTCGATCCCCTAAATAACCCCACACACCAGTTCTACAAGCAAGGTACACGCCCCTACACCTACGTCACCGCTACACCTACTGACTGATCCCCTAAATAACCCCACAACCAGGCACCTACGTCACTGCTACACCTACTGACTGTCCCCCTAAATAACCTCAACACACCCAGTTCTACAAGCAAGGTACGCGCCCCTACACCTACGTCACTGCTACACCTACTGACTGTCCCCCTAAATAACCTCAACACACCCAGTTCTACAAGCAAGGTACGCGCCCCTACACCTACGTCACTGCTACACCTACTGACTGATCCCCCTAAATAACCTCAACACACCCAGTTCTACAAGCAAGGTACGCACCCCTACACCTACGTCACTGCTACACCTACTGACTGATCCCCCTAAATAACCTGTAGCAGTGACGTAGGTGTAGGGGTGCGTACCTTGCTTGTAGAACTGGGTGTGTTGACTACGTCACTGCTACACCTACTGACTGATCCCCCTAAATAACCTCAACACACCCAGTTCTACAAGCAAGGTACGCACCCCTACGCCTACGTCACTGCTACACCTACTGACTGTCCCCCTAAATAACCTCAACACACCCAGTTCTACAAGCAAGGTACGCGCCCCTACACCTACGTCACTGCTACACCTACTGACTGTCCCCCTAAATAACCCCCACACATACTGATTGACCCCCCCCCCACACACTACCTCGATCCTACATGGCTCGCCGAGCACATCTGTATATCGCCGTGGCAACGTTTCAGGCGTCTACGTGGAGCCGGAGTGCAGCACCAGCCAGCTGGACCACGGTGTCCTGATCGTCGGATACGGCTCGAGCAAGGATGGCAGCGACTACTGGATCGTCAAGAACAGGTGAGCATCCGTGGCATAAATGGGGGCGTGAGGGTGAAGAGAGAATAGTTGGCGAGGGGAGCGGTACACTCAATGTGTTATCGACAGTGCATGTCTGCTAAAATAACCCGCCAATTGATTCAAGTTCAACTGATATTCTTTCCATCTATAAATGAGGCCATCTCGACATTATCAAGATGTTAGATTATGTGTAAATATCACGACACGAGACACTCACTGGGTACACCTAGTGAGTCCGTACGGGTCCTGGAAAATCTGGAGCATTTAAAAAAATTCCGTTTTCTACATCTGGCAAGTCCTAGAAAAATTCGCTGCCATTGTTTTGTACCTAGAAAGTCCTCAAAATTGAGCTCTATCTTGTCTGAGAGCGTTTAACCACATTCTCGTGCGTTTCTCCACACTTTCTACAGAAGGTTGTGTGGCATAAGATTGTACATGAGTAGAGTCAGGGGAGCCCTAAGAGGTGCACGAACGCTTATCACCGGAGACGATTGTCGAAAACAGGTTGGGTCGTTGACCCTCCTACCACCCACCGCGCGCGCGCTTAATCCAGGGTCCTATCTCAGCTCCCGGTCAGCGCGCGTCCTTGAGAAGACCGTGTCGCGCTCTCACATCCTGTTTTTGCCCTATCTCCTATCCCGTCTCTCTCGTAGTTGGAGCACGTCCTGGGGCGACGAGGGATACGTGATGATGGCGCGCAACAAGGACAATCAGTGCGGCGTCGCGACACAGGCCAGCTACCCGCTCGTCTAACGACCGCCGCGGCGACGATGGATGTTCTGTTGTTTCCGAGTGACGTTCCACCGGCGCGAACTCTGGTCGGCTTTCCGTTTCCTGCGTCCAGACTGCGTCGATGTGTAACCGTGTTACTGTGATGTTAGCTTCGTTTTACGAAAACTTGGGTTTGTTCTCCGGTGTTCTTTTGGCAATGTAAACTACTGTTGCTTTGTCTCTTGCGTCCAGACCGCGTCGATGTGTGACCGTGTTTCTGTGATGTTCGTTTCGTTCTTCGTTGTCCTCCGGTGTTCTTTTAGTAATGTAAACTTTTGTCGTTTCCTTGTTTTGTACGTAGCGTCTTTGTACGTCCGTTTCCAAAAAAAACGTTCAAAAAAAATCTCAACTCCAAATGTTCTTGATATATACTGTGATGTAAACTTCTGTTGGGTTCATTTTCTATCTAGACTGCGTAGACTAGAAAGAATTAAGTCGACTGCTGACGTTATTGCCATCTTGGTTTATTATGTACAATTCATTACATTATCTTGAATATATAATGTAGATACATCGGTTGAATTTCCAATAGGGATGACGTAACACTGTGCTTTAAATATGTCAGCTTTCAATGCCATGGTTGGTTCAGGTTTTTTACCCTGCACGTTCAAACTTTGTGACATATAGTTGGTATGATGGGTTAGTATGATGTGAAACACAATTTATCTCATTTCTGCTCATAGAACGCTGGCGTGTAGCGATTGTGTCTCTCTGTAGATAGATAGATGCGGTTTCTGTAGGCGATTTTCCAAGATTTGTCATATTGACACTGTGTGAAGTGAGTTGACACGTGTGTAGTAGAGACGTGACAACTTGGCTGCTATCACATCATTCTACATGCTTGATGTGAAGACGCACATATAAAGAAAGTTTTCAATGGGATGGCATCACAAGAATCTCCCCGTTTCAAATCTATTTGTGTGGCATTTTAATTGTTCCACTTTATACACGTAAGAGCATTATATAAGCTAGGTGTACATTTATGTACTGATTGCTTCTATTAAATCACGCAGAAAATATAGCGAACATGTCTGTACATATATAACGATTTCCTGTCGCCGCTTATCTTTTGATTTACCTTTTGTACACCTAAAATAAATCCGTATTTCTAATACAACTGCATTGGTTTCTCCATTTTTCATCAATACTTATGCATATAAAATGAAAATCGACCACATCAACTGGTTTAAAATATTTATCTTTTTAATTTCAAAATGTACAGTGTGTATCGTAAACATTTACAACCGAAGCATTTACAAGTGGTCCTAACTTGCATAGACATTCCTCTTACTATAAGGATAGGAATACTATGGCGTTATAAAACTCTAACAAAGTTACACACTGTCCTAGATACGCGTCTATTTATTGATAACCACGGTACTGGTTTTTTACGCTTATTCTAAAGGCAAGCGGTATCAACAAGCTGTACAAAACGCATTGATGCAATCATCACAGTCACTTGGAGCTATTAGTGGCTAGCAAAGATGCCTATATTCCCTAAAAAGTATTCCCTTTACAGTATTCCCTAAATATAGCCGTCGTATCTGCTTGCAATTAATCGCAATTAACTCATAAAACCTCTTGCTATAGAATGGACTTTCTACGGATACATTACCTATCTTTCAAAAAAAGGCAGGACCCTAAATAATTTGATATCAGGTCAATTTTGGAATTGACCCCCCCACCTCCTTATATTATAACTAGATAATTTAGCAGCTATAGCGTGTACATTTTATGTAGTAGTAACGGAGGCCGTATTTACATCGATACGACCCTATACTCCAACCACGTGACGAAAACTCTGTTAGTTTACACAAGTACGCGCAACCACACGCCATGCATTACATCGTAAACGTGAATGAATATACACGAACGTGGAAGTTATGCTGACACGCATAATGCCACAGAAAACCAAATCGTTTAATAATAATTACGTTAAATAAACAATTTATTCGCAGGTGTTCGGTGGATTGGGGCACGCTGGTGTCGATAATGCCGGTCAACGGCCTAAGTTACTTATTACACTCACACTGCAATTATCAATATAAACGGCACTGCATTAACATGGACAGCGATAACGAATTCACCACACACCTCAACGCACGATCTTTTTCATATATATACAGAAACACTGCAGTTGCACGTATTTTCAACGTGCTGGTCCTACGAGTGGGTGGGCTGATGATCACTTTGTAGCAAACTGCGAGGATACCCAGGCTAGACCCCACTTCAAATTGGTCAGCATGAACTTCAGAGCTTTAGTCCACTGTTCTTCGGAGTTGAACTGTATCCTGTAGTGAACATAGTTGGAAAGCCACTGAATATTCACTTGATACAAATGATAAATAATTGAAAAACATGTATACGTACATGATTATTTACACCACTATATATCTGTCTGTCTGTCTGTCTGTCTGTCTGTCTGTCTGTCTGTCTGTCTGCTAAGATGCAAATGGTTGGGAAAACTGTGTGAAACCGTGTCGTATTCAAAGAACTTTTTTGAAGAACACATACGATTTTCAGGTAAATTGGTGGTGTCGTATGATTAAGGGAGAATCATAGACGAAAACAAGGTAAAGTTTGAATATATTTATTCACATATTGATAGAATATTTTCAAGTTGAAAACTATGCAAAACGCTGTTAAAACGGTGTCATACTCTTCTCCTATTATGTACTCTTGATATATATCTGTCTGTCTGTCTGTCTCTCTCTCTCTAACTCTCTCTCTCTCTCTCTCTCTCTCTCTCTCTCTATATATATATATATATATATAATGAGAAAACGATTCTTTTTACAAATGACTTTGTTCATTGACTCATTGTCTTACTTTATCGAGTATGCACTTCCCGTCCCCGAGTCTTCCACTCTTCCTCTATCCATTCTGTAGGGTAGGCAAAATCCTGTGTCGCCTTTCTCCACTTCTTCCTTGAACTACGCATGAGACGATACACAAGCGGATTAACTTAATCATACGAGAATTACCATTTACTGACCTCATACTATGAATCATAATAACTTAGAAAGTTATAGACTTTGACAGTTTAACAGATAAAAGAACATTCTGTATATAATTACCCATACATTTTCGTATCTGTATTCAAATTACTTGGATTGTGAGTGACACCCAATCACAACATGTATACATTTGTGGTATCAAGACTTGCTGTCATCTAACACGTTTAAATACAACAGAACTACAGTTAGCACTCGATCTATTGGCCATCTAACATGACTGACAGGCAGCTCTGGCCTATATCGCTAAGTGTCGCAGAGTCGAAGATTGACCGTGAATTTAATTTAAATGAATGTATTTGTGATTTCAATGGATTTAATGGATTTGTGATTTCAATGGATTTAATGGATTTGTGATTTTAATGGATTTAATGGATTTGTGAACTTAATTCGTGACGGACACGTACATACTGATCTAGCTAGCCACAGACCTAGCAACAATATTCATAACAGAGGATACGTGGTCATCTCGATCGGATGAGTGGGTCGATTCACGACCAACAAACCTGCTGGAGGCAGTCGAGGAAGGCCACCATCGCGCTGTCGAACTTCGTGTCCCAGAAGAATCGGAATCCTCCCGAACCGTAGAGAGGTAGCTCCTTGCTCCTGTCGGCCAAGCACTCCAGGTACGAGTGATTGCCGTACGGAACCAACCGATACCTGCGACGACGTCGTCGGCGGAAAGTCGCCCCGGTTAAAAATCGCACGGTAATAAAATTGTGATGGGGGAAATCTATATTATTTGTTAAAGATTGTTAATAATTGCACGGAAACGAAATCACAGTGGGGGTTATCTACGTGTGGGGTTTGCACGGGGCAAAACAATTTTTTCCTGGAGTTTTCCAGGAGCTTTTCGGGACTAAAATGGACTGATTTCCACAACCACTCAACATTAGCCAAATGGGGTTCTTATATGCGTCTGTAATCCTATATTTGATCAACCCTGAACAAAATGAAACTCGCTCGAAGCGAATTTTATTGCATTTCAGGTATGATCTTTCGGGACAAAACAGTAATGGCATATTTTCTGAGACTTTCCAAGACCACAACCCATTTACCAAGAATTTCCAGGATCATAGTTTATTGTCTGGGACTTTCCAGACCCGGAAAATGGCATTTCAAAATTCCAGAACATTTCAGGTTTTGCCAGGACCCAAACTAACCCTGTAAGTGTATTCAATAGGTAACTCATGCCACAATATTTTTATGCAGTATTGCTTAAATAGTCGCATTTTAAAATCAGAGGAAGATTATACGGCTGTTTTCACAGATGTTCAAACACTGTCGCTAACACGACAGAAACACGGCATACCTCAAAAACGTCAGATCCATTTTTCTCGAGAGCGCGTGAAGTAGAAGCACTGTCTGTCCCCACGCCGCATTAATCTCATTCCAGTCCACCTGCAACGAGAAAGATGTACAGTGAGAACGTCTATATCTGCCCATTATACGCGATCGCACAATACAATATACATATATACATATATATTATATATATATATATATAATATCAGGAGCTAATAATGACAAAGCTCCTGATATTAGCTCCTCATTATTAGCTCCTGATATTATTATTATTTTTATATTATGTATACAATATACTATATATAAGTACACATATGGTCGTGGTGATGACAATCAGTAGGTGAATTCAACAGTGCTTTATTACATGGATTACTGTATAGGACAGGTTGTGGTAATTGCACATAGTAGAGCGGTCTGATGCAGATTTCAACGAACAAACGGTACACAACTAACGGATGGCACCGAGGGCCCAGGGGGTGTCTATATTCAAGCCGGTACGGGAGATGACGGTACGCATATATTTGCTAATATATTGACTAATCGTGCGTCAATAAACTCAATATTCACAGAGAGTATAGCTAAGACATGTGTCTATAGGTATCTAGAATATATTGTGCAAATGATCTCCCGCACCGGCTTGAATTCATACTCTCTGAGAATATTGAGTTTATTGACACACGATTAGTCAATATAGCAAATATATGCACACGGAAGTGAATTACAGATGATTAAATTTCTAAAATTCTAGACGGACTTGCGGCCCCGGTTTTTGCGCGCAGCGCACAGCTACAAGCCGCGCCCCAACAGCGAATACGCCGCCCCCTTTTTGTCCATTTTGACAGATATCTGAGACAGGGGTCTGAAAACGCACTCCGCGAAAACTGGGCGCAATCCAACCGACATTTCGGGATGGACGGCTTGAGGCCATCTCCAAACGGTCCCTAAACTTTTTTTGGAGTAGCGCGCCTCATGGCTAAGACGTAGTGGCTCCTACAAGAAAATTCCAGAAATGCTGTCAATCAGCGATAACGCGCTCGCTTGTTGGTCGCTACGCGATGACGGGCACTACTGCCGAGTATAGAGTTATGTCTATCACAGAGCTTTTTACGAAGTGTCGTACGGCGCTCCACGTGGGGTGGCGCGGCCTAAATGCTATCTTCAAACGCGCTCCCGCCGTGCCGGCGCCTGACTGCGTACGTGCGAGGTTTTACCAACCTATTGACCCCGCGCTGCCCGTGGTGACGGCACGTCGTGCGAGCACCTGCGCTGGCGTGGCGGGCGAATACTGCGAGCACGGGGTGGCGTGGCCGTGCCAGTTTTTACACGTAGCTAAGTAGATACTCGCAAAGCAGCAACAGCAACAAAAACTCGCCCCTGCCGCGCAGCGCGGCTCTGCAGCAGCAGCAGCAGCAAATGCCCCCACCGAAGGCCGCCATAGCCGAGCCGGTGTGTGACGAAAACTGCGCGATGTTACGCTTCCCGCTTTACGGATTCGCGCGCCCGCCTTCCTTCGGCGCGCGAATCCGTACAGCAGGGCAGCGCGAGATGCTGCGACACACCGAGGTCGCGAGCCACCGCGGTCGCGTGCGCCCAGTCCCGCGGAAGTGCGCGGCTTAACCGCTCTTGGCGGTCGTGGAACAACGCATCTTTTGCGCAACGCCATCTTGTACCCGGTCTCTCTGGATACCTATAGACACATGTCTTAGCTATACTCTCTGTGAATATTGAGTTTATTGACGCACGATTAGTCAATATATTAGCAAATATATGCGTACCGTCATCTCCCGGCCGTACCGGCTTGAATATAGACACCCCCGAGGGCCCATTGTCATAAACATACTAAACATCTACGACTATCATAAGTCTATGCCATCACTTCTGAGCAACGCATCTTGGGAAAAATTATGAAACTTTAGACTCACAACGCAACTATTATGCGTATATATTATGTAACTATTTATGGTGTTTCTGACAACAGAGCCTTAGTGCTTGTGCTAAGTAAACATCCTAAACGCTTATGACTATCAGAAGTCTATAATGTTATGACATTTGGGCAATGCATCCTGGGCAAAGTTCTGAAATTTTAGACTGATATATCTATGGTGTTTCTGATATAACAGGCCCTTTGTGCTAGTATTATGTACAGGAAAGTCTGACAACTTTACAACGATGATAAGAATCAAACACTGGGGCAATCAATAGGGGATTCAGACTTCACACATGCACAACACATACCAGGACACTCGGTAGTCTCCCCAGTCTAAAATTGTTTATCGTTCCAAAATGGCCATTGTGCCTGAAAGTAAAACAGAAAGATTTTACGCAATACAATCAGAAAGAAGATAATAATAAATGTTTTAATTAGAATATTAATTATTAGATTAATGATATATCTGTTAGCAAAAATTCCCAATACAGTGTATAGATTATACGACGTATAATATTGCTAGTGAATGCACTTTATAGACAAGGGTTCGATCATTTCAACTCTGAACTGACTGCCATCTTGGACTGCTTACCAGATATGGAATGTTGCATTGAAAACATTTGTTTTCTTCAGTTTATCTAACTGTGTCTGTGCATATTTCAACTGGTTGTCAACACTGAAAGAGAAATATTCTATGTTAACCAAATTACCAAAACTGGCATCAATTGCATTCCGACACTATCGCTTGATAATATAAAACACCTTATACCATACAATTCCTAGATTTTTGTAGAGCTTTATCATTAAGAGAATGCGCAACTTTAACATGAGTCACCATTTTCCAAAAATACGCGTTATGCATATTTAAACAATGAACAAACAAACCCTATGGTGGCAAGTTTTAAGTTTATGCAGATAACTAGTCACAATTTAACAATCACCAAACCAAAGTTTTTTGTTATCAAACCAAAGTTGCTTTTTCACCCGTCGTATAAAAACTGTCACTAAATACATACCTTCTGTGTTCATCATCATACTCTAGCTGTAACCTCTTGCATTCGGTATACTCTCGGTAATACCTAGAAAATTACAAGTAACAGGTTTAGTACCTAATCAATATGCTACTGAAACTAGGTAATTCAAGACTGTCCTTTTGCTATGTCAGTGCAGACAGTTCAATTATAACACTCCAACACAAAGTAGCAATGTCCCAGAAACAATTTATTATGTCTACATACTTTCCTCCTACCTCTCCTCCTCCTGCTTTGCATGCTTCTACTCCTCTCCATACTTCTCGTACCTCGCCTCCTCCTCCCCCTACCTCTCTGCCTCCTCCTCCCCCTCCTCCTCCACCTCCCACTACCTCCCATCCTCCACATCCTCCTACCTCCTCCTCCTCCTCATCCTCCTCCACCATCTCCTCCTCCTCCTCCTTCTCCCCTCATCCTCCTCCACCATCTCCTCCTCCTCCTCCTTCTCCACCTC